AGTTTTTCGGCAGGCCCTGAGCTTCAATTCTGTACATAAAGCGTAATCTAGTGATTTCAAGTCCGGGCTTGGTGATGGCCACTCCTCCGCTGTGATAAAACCTGGTTAATTCTCCTTAAGTCAATTTTGTGTTGATTTGGCTTTGTGTGACGGCGCCGAATCTTGTTGAAAAATGCAAGGTTTATTATCGAAAAGGGTAGTAAACAGTGGTTTTACTACCGCTTCCAAAATGTCTTTTTGATAATTTTGTCCCTTAATTTTGACCCACGGTTTACAAAAATGAAGTGCAGTGACCCTCTGATAAGAAACACCCCACCAAACACTTGCGGGGTGATGAGTCTGAAAAACATTTCTTGCCGCAGCGGGAACATCTTTTGAGCTTCTCGCGTAAATTTTATCGTTTTGCCGGTAAAATTTTTCTTCCACGGTAAACGTTCTCATCTGTGAAGAAAATTTTTTTTGCATCATGTCTCTTCAACATTATTCGACAGCGATCGTATTGCAATTTTCGAAGGTGATTGTTGAGATAACGTCGACTATAGACGTTTACTTTAAGATCATATTTCAATATCCAATTGACAGATATTATTGATAAGTTCGTCTAAATGGCTAGCTTCTTCTGAGTGCGTCAAGGATTTCGACGAAGACGTTCGCGTATTAACTTAATGTTGGCAAGCGTCCTTACACTGCGTTCTTCCCTATTAAGAATTAGCGCTCGATTACTTCCAAAACCGATGTCGCCACCTGCAGCCGTATTTTAAACATACGCAATGCACAATGATATCTAACGTTTCACATTACGTTGCTTGGCAAGTTTGTCAACGTCGCGTGCGTCGTGTATTACGGTAGTACAAAAGCAGCAATGGTAATTGTCAATACAATAATTATTAATAAAACTTTACAAAGGTAAATATCATTGTAAAGTATTCATCTAGATGTAAATTAGTCAAAATAATAATAATTAGTAAATGATCAACTTACCGATAAAATTTTATGCATTTATTAGTTGAATTACACGTCCTTGATGACTTTTTACTATTATGCTGCAGTTCACCATTATAATAACATAAATTCTCGTACGACGTTCCCCGCGCAACTAAATCACAAAATGGTGAATTATGTTCGTCAGCCCGTAGTAGCTGCGACAAGGTCACGCGTCTATGCGAGTTCTATTGTATTATTATTACGATTTCTGTAGTTCTTCCACTTCTGGGTCTTGCACTGATAACGTCTCCCTGTATCTCTTCAAAGTATAGTAAACAAAGTTTCTACTAGCCCCAGCTGTTTGAATTGATTAAAACTCTCCATAAGTTTCTTTCCCGCCTTAAACACTGAAATCACCGTAGAACGCAAATCTTTACTCGCCGCCATTTCGATAAAAATTAAAAAGTTTAAAATAATTTTTGCTTAAAAATTCTCAGAACATTCCTATTTCGGAATATTTAAAGAATTTAAATACAAGCTCATTCTATAACTGTGCGTGTATTACAAAAAAATTTTCATGACTTAATGGCATGTTCAAATTTTATACGTAGTAAAGCAACGCTGCAGCTATATTATGGTGAATGGGTCGGCTGGACCTAGATAGGACCACGATTTCACAGAAATCCAGCGTAAAATAGCAGCTCAATGCTGCTGCGTTTCATATAGTGAGTATAGAGAACCGGAGATCCCCTTTTCTTTCTACGGCCACAAAGGCATTCCATCTTAGTCCTCAGGGGTGACTCTCTTAATCTAGAATATATGTAGATGTCTATGGGTCACAGTATCAATTTACCATCAGGTGGACTGAGTGCTCGTTTGTCATCCATATTCTACATAAAAATGTGAATAATCCTCTAAAAGTAAAGCTAAGAAATTTAAATATTTTATTTTATTAAATTTTTCTAAATGCTATGTATTAATCACAATCATAATCATAATTTATTTGCAGAAAACATGGTACATTGTAGGTTGGTAAATTATTTAAGTCCAGCATCTTTTGTCATAATGTTGACATACAAATATTTATCTAATACATTAATTACATTTTCACAACTAATAAATTAATAACATGTTTTCAAAATCATCATAATAATTTTATTACATTTAATTTAATTAAAATAATATGATAGTAGTTACTTAATTCATTTTAATATCGATTCCTAATCCTAATCATAAATTTTAAATATTCTTCAACAGAGTAGAAGCATTGCTCCTGAAGCCATTGTTTGACAATCCTGCGAAAACGTACCTTTGGGAGTGATTGAAACTCTGTAGACAGTGCATTGAAAATTTTTATACACATAGCTCAACAATTTTTCCTATAGAGGCTAGTGCTTGGCATTACACTATGTGTCAATCTTTCAGTATGCCTCAAGTTTCTCTGTGCAGTATTTCTTAGCTTTGTGAATAAAAGTATATTATTTTTAACAAAACATACCAAATTTAGGATGTACATACATGGCAGCGTCAAAATGCGTAATTTTTTAAAATACGGTTTACACGATGAATCTGTTATATAAGTACCGTATGAAAAATAAAGAAAACGATGATTCATAATTTAGTTTATAAGCTGTGACTTAAAGAAACGAACCTAATTAAATGGGTACCTACTTTTTAAAAGCCGTGGTAGCTCCGATTATTAGCGCTCGCTGTAAATGTCACAGTACGCGAGCAACCCGGCTTCGATCCCCGTCGGCATCAATGAAATTGTTAATTGCGATTTTAAGTGCCGATTTACCATATGCTCGGCGGTGAAGGAAAACATCGTAAGGAAACCTGCATGTCTGAGAAATAAAAAAAATATTTCGAAGACATGTGAAGTTCGCCAGCACGCATTGGGGCAGCGCGGCGGACACTTCCTTGCCCTAAAACTTTCTCAGGAATGAGAGACGGTCTGTGCCCAGCAGTATTGGGACGTATATAGGCCGTAACTTTAACTTTTTTGATATGTACGGAATAATATGTACAGGACTATATACATGTACGGAACTCTACTAGAGTGAGGCCCGAATCGCACTTGACGAAGATATTGTAATGGGTCTAAGTCCAAACTTTGTCGTATCTCTACGTCTCAAGGCTGGGTCTACCAGACGATATTGTTTTTAAAAGGATATCTGAGTGTTTAACGCTCTTGATTAATTTTCGTCACGCATACCTATGTCGTAAACAAAAAAATTATACTAACTGTCGGACGTTATTATCAAAATTGTTCTAGTAGCTTTTTGGTATTAACTAGTTTTTAAATAAAAAAATATATTATTTTTTTGCTATACAAATTTGATCTTTTTCAGCCTCGCCCTCACCTTCCCGTAATGGTTTGTTTTCAAAAATCCCAAAATGCATACCGTTATCTATATCGTTACCTATACCGTTACAGCCTATAAAATTCACTGCTGGAAAAGACCTCCCCCATTGATTGCCTTATAGGGCTTATTTGCCATAGTTGCCATGCTTGGCAAACGGGTTGGCACCCGCAGTTTATTTTTATTTTTAGTCGTTATTAGTAAGCCATATTGCCCATATTCTGATTTAATTTCCTCTGTCGCCTTTCGGACTCCCACGGGACGATATGGAGTAGTGGTGCATAAAGCATAATAATTTATTATTTTCAACAGAATAAGTACTTTCACTAAGTTCGTTCTTTCAGTTAATTTATACGTGGTAGAGTCACGCTGCAGCTATATTATGGTTGTAGCACGAATGGGGCGGAACGACCGCGGTAGGACCACGCTCTCACAGAATACCAGCGTAAAATAGTAGTTTAATGCTGCTGTGTTTCGTATGGTGAGTCTAGAGAACCGGAGACCCTTTTTACTGGAAACGAGGCATCTAAGCCCTCAGGGGTGACAAAGTATCTGCATTTTCATTCTTAATCAAGAATGGATGTAGATGTCTATGGGCCACAGCATCCTCTTACCATGAATTGGACTGTGTGCCCGTTTGTCATCCTTATTTAAAAAAAATCATCTTTAGGGATTTTATACGTGGTAGAGCCATGCTGCAGTTATATTAGTAGTATAGTTGTAGCATGAATGGGTCGTCTCGTCCAAGGAAGGACCACGCTCTCACAGAATACCAGCGAGCGAAAATAGCAGCTTAATACCAGCGAAAAATAGCAGCTTAATGCTGCTGTGTTTCGTATGGTGAGTGTAGAGAACCAGGGACCCTTTTTAAAGGAAACGAGGCATTCTATCTTAGTCCTCACGAATGACAACGCATCTGCATTTTGTTTCGTAATCGAGGACAAATGTAGATGTCTATGGGCCACAGCAACCACTTACCATCAGGTGGACTGTGTGCACGTTTGTCGCCTATCTTATAAAAAAAGGGATTTGCTACTGCCTATATCCTGGTCTGTTACCCTCTATCACCTCAACAACACCTATGGGATGATTGGAATAATATGGAATAGTGGATATTCTTACACCGCCAGTACACCGGTTGGAGTCGAGAGACTGGTATAAGTATATGTTTACTAGTGACTAGACTCCAAGAAGTCAATAATTTCTTCATGGGACAATGTACCTATACGCTTTTAAAACCAACTCCCAGAAAATATACAGACCTTATCTATTAAAAAGTATAAAATATTTATTAAGCTAATAATGTTTAGTTAGGGTCATTATACCCCTAAATAGTACATTATTGATAATAACTTCTGGCAATGAGGTGGCCAATACCATGCTGTTTTTAAATGTTTTCATAACTATTGAATAAATTTTATATTTCAAGTTATGCTTTTAAAAACAAAATCCCGCTGGGTTTCTTGCTGGTTCTTCCTTAAGCTTATGTGCCATATATTGTTCCGTGCGGGATTTGAACCTGCGACCCTCCGCGCTGCAACTCACTAAGTCACTGCGCCACGGAGCCATCAATTAAAAACATAAATGTGAAAAGGAGCCCAAGTTCTCAAGCACAAAATATATAAAAGAGTTTAGAACTGAACGAGCTCCAAGCTCTATGAACTGTTCCAAGAACGTTGTATATTTTTATAGATGCTATGATGTTTATGCCAGGTACAATCGGCTACCGCTCGCCCAGCTGCTACTTCAAAGGGGGGCCGATGTCCACGCCAAGGATAAGGGGTGAGTCCTTTATTTATTTTGTATTTTTTTATAGAATAAGTTTGACAGACGAGCACACGTCACTAATATTTTTTTTTATTTTAGAATAAGGTTGACAGACGAGCACACAGTAATTGAATGCTGTGGTCCATGGACATCTACAGCTTTCCTCTAATAATTTTGTCGTTTGTCACTTCTGAGGACTAAGATGGAATGCATCCTCAGATCATATAAACAACAGGAGATATGGCAAGGAGGCGTGGCACTTGCGAACGCATCTGGCCGCAAAGCGGCCTGATGCCAGTTTCGGTAATTAGTCGAATGTCAACTTGTGACGTCTTCACTGCTCGTGATTTTTGACAAAATGCCGCGTTGTTCAGTGATTGTTTGCAAAAATAACAGCTGTATTGTGAATTACATGAAAGATGGCATCTCATTTCACACGTAAGTACTAAAATATTAATGTTTTTCTTATTCAATTTATTAAAACATTACTTCGTGGTACTAGAAACACGATGAAAAACCAAGTCAAATGTTTTCATTAGAAACAAAAACCATTGCTTGCTTAGTACAAATCGACCTGTGAATCAGCTGGTCTAATAGCGCAATGGATAAGTGTTTTACTGATACTCTCACTCACACGATAGTTTCGTGAAGCAGCCGCTGCCGGCTTTTGTGAGTTAGAGACACATGTTTTTGTGTGAATAAGTTTTGTACGGTGCATGGTAAATGCACGCTTGCGTATGATGAGATAAGGTTTATAATTGGTTGTGTAGATCGTTCTGATTTATTAAATGCGTGTGTGTGCGCTACTGCGTATCTATCAATTTAATGAACTGCATGTGTAGTAGTTGACGAGTGGCGGGGACGGTGCATGGTAAATGCACGCTGCGTATGATGAGATAAGGTTTATAATCGGTTGTGTAGATCGTTCTGATTTATTAAATGCGTGTGTGTGCGCTACTGTGTATCTATCAATTTAATGAACTGCATGTGTAATAGTTGGCGAGTGGCGGGGACAAACTGGCGACAACAGGTTCCGATACATTTTAACTACCGGGCATATCTCCTGTTGTTTATATGATCTGAGAATGCATCGTATACAGTAAAAGGGGTTACCGGTTCTCTACACTCGCCATACGAAACACAGCTGCGTTGAGCTGTTATAGCTATATAGCGGTGACCGCAGTTTATTATTTTGCACTGTTATCAGGAGGATGCTGTTGTCGATTTCCTGATTTGTTTCCCTCTGGCGCCAGTTACGACACCCACGGGATGTTATGGGGTAGTGGATATCCTTATACCACTACTACCCGGCAGTTGGTTTGTTGTTAACGTTATAAAATAGCAATATTACCTACTCTCGTGGCATTCAGCAAAAGGCATTTGTAACTAATAAACATGGCAACACACATTTTGAAAAAAATATATGAATCATTTTTGTTGATGTTTTAGTTCACTAATATTTTATCGAAAATAGTGTATTTATTTATTTTAATTTTTGTATTTTGTCCATTTTATTTAATGAAATAAAAGAAATGTAATTTCGTGAGTCCTAATTACGGTTACTTGGTACGACTCGTTATATGTCTAGAAGTCCATCTGTGAAGGTTCCACTCTCTTTTCTAGGTATGTTAGCCACCAAGCAAGTTCTATAAATAGCATCCCAACAAAGAAAGATAAAAGATTGTTATTACGCTTTATTTTTTATAAAATATATATTTATTTCTGTAGTAGGACTTCGAAATGGCCGTCTTCACCGAGGAAGGACCACGCTGTCACAAAATACCAGTGTAAAATGGCAGCTTAATGCTGCTGTGTTTCGTCTGGCGAGTGTAGAGAACCCAAAAACGCTTTTACGTCTTGACAAAGCATCAAATCGCATGCATTTTAATCGAAGACAGATGTACTTGTCAATGGGTCACAGCATCCATTTACCAACACGTGGACTACGTGCTCATTTGTTACACTTTTTTTTTGAAAACAAAAATTTCTTTTTTAAGAGGGTGGCACCCATAGAATGCTATAATATATACATAATAGAACGGGGGAGTGGGCGGAGCACGTGAAGCCACTAAAATGTCACTAACATGTCAATTCACACCTATAAATGTCAACACGAGATGTGTTTTTACGTTACAACCGTTTCCAAATTTCGCAATCAAATTAGTTAGAAAATGTCAAATTGCACACTATTTACAAATAAATATGTATTAAAATTTAAACAATTTTTTTAATGATGATCTTGAACATTAATTAAAAGTCTAAAATGTATTAATTTACTCAGTCTGTCAACACAGCGAATCGGGTTTGTAGTAGTGATAATACGACGTAATTGCTTGTATGTGTGCTCCCGGCGACGCCGATCCTCGTACAAAATAAGGTTGACAGCCATTCTATTGTGTATTCTATGGTGGCACCTAAGCAGTTTTTGCCGCAGGGTACCAGCGCCCGCACTTCTGTGTTCCTGTCTGAAGCGTATAGATAGCCAATATAGTTACGCGCTGTGAGGCATTCCATCTTAGTCCTTAGACGTGTCAACGAATCCTCAGCCATCTTTGTTTGAGTCGGCTGTATGTATCTATTGGCTGCAGTTTCATTTCTTTTGTTGGTTTAGTTTCATGAAACAAAAAAAAATATTTATTTATTTATTTATCCTTTTTTGTACACCACAATACAGAAACATCAATATAGTTACAACTAATTAAAGTATGTACAATAGGCGGTCTTATCACTGAAAGTGATTTCTTCCAGACAACCTTTGCGTAGAGTAATGATGCAAACAAAAGTTACAAATAGAGGGGGGGCATACAAAATAATAAAAAAAAATACAACAATACATACAAATAAAAGTAAGTGAGTTATATATAAAATATCATATAATAGATTAAATGAAAAGAGTAAGAGAAAGGTAAAGTAATTTATCTAATATAATAATATGCAGTCTAGTATAATAGGGGGTAGGGAAGACCAGTCAATTTTACCAATTAATCTAGAACTACCGATGACAATGACCTGAGTTTTCTTAGGATTAATCGTTAAACCATAACATTTACTCCAATTCGAAATACAAGTCAGATCAGCGTTCATAGTGTCAACTGCTTTAGATAGATCTTCAAGAGAGGACTGAGTATAGATTTGGAGATCATCAGCATACAAGTGTTAGGAAGAGGACAAATTATGACTTATAGAGTTAATGAAAATTGCAAAAAGGAGAGGAGACAACACGCCACCTTGTGGTACACCAGCAGCTGTAGTAATCCAGGTGGAAAAAACCTCTTGCACCTGAATTCGCTGTCGGCGACCAAACAAGTAACTTCGAAACCAGTCAACTACAGTTGGAGATATGTTGAGAGAGCGTAGGATGCTTAACAAGATATCAAAATCTACAGTATTAAATGCGTTACTAAAATCAAGCAACGTGAGAATAGTAAGCTTTTGTTTCTCCATACCATACCGAATATCATCAGTGATTTGTAAAAGTGCAGTAGTCGTACTATGGCCAGGACGGAAACCGGATTGCAAGGGATTTAAAAGATTGTGTTTTAAAAGATAGGTGCTTAATTGATTGTGCACAAGACGTTCTAGAACTTTGGAAAAGAAAGGCAAAATAGAGATAGGTCTATAATCGGAAAAACTAGAGGGATTTGACTTTTTCGGAAGAGGAACTACAAATGCGTCTTTCCCAGCTGAAGGGAAAAAAGCAGAATTCAGTGATTTATTCATGATAGATGTGATTATAGGTAAAAGGAGATCAATGAGAGGGATGACCATTTTCCGACTAATGCAGTCACTACCAATCGAATTTGAATGGATGGACATTATGGCTCTCTTAACATCACAACTGTTAAATTGGCTAAAATTAAAAGCAGGGGTGTCCGGAGTGGGAGCTTTTGAAAGGGAATCTAAAGTATTATGTTTTGCTTTATCGTTAATGCAAGACGAAGATGAGAAATGCAAATTAAGTTGATTGAGATCAAGGTTATGGTGTGTGAGATTTTGTCGTAATTTCCCAACTCCTAAGGATTTAAGAAATTTCCAGACCCTAGGAGGATCAGGATCTTGTACTGATTCATGGATATGGCGTCGTTGTGCTTTTCTACACAGATTGTTGCAACGATTCCGTACTAATCTATACTTCTCTCTATTCAAATCGCTAGGAACTGACTTGTATTTAGCTTTGCCACAATTTTTAATGTGGATGATTTTTTTTATATCATCGGTCAGCCAAGGAGAGGGAGGATGCTTTACACGCACTGGTCGCACAGGAGCATGAACGTCGTAAAGCTGAATTAACAGAGAGTTGAACAAAGCAACCTGTTCATCAACAGTAGACGCATTGACGACTACACTCCAATCAATCTTTACAGCGTCGTTTAAAAGCTGCTCCAAATCCAAGTCACTAAAGTTACACTGAAGTAGTATCCTTGACTTAGCTTTAGGGGGACGAATTTTGTATGACAAGTATAAAAGGTCGTGATAGGAAAAAGAATCAGCAGCATGTTGCCCAAATTTAAGAACATGGTCAGGTAAAGACACAAACATTATGTCGAGAAGAGAAGGGGCACAGTTCGGGAAAAAGTGTGTGGCAGAAGTAGGAAGAAGTTTTAAATTTGCTGCTTCAATAATAGATTTAAGTTTTATTGATCTAGCGTTGTTTTTTAAAAGACAGGTATTAAAATCACCCATAATAATACTGTGACAATAGATAGGTGTAAGATTGTCAAGAATATTTTCTAACGTGGTGAAGTAGTCGACAGTGAGAGAGGGACTGTAAAAAACTCCAAGAAGTAATTTTGTATGACCAAGAAGAACTTCGATAAAGAGAAATTCACTTTGAGCATTTATGTGAATAGCGTTAAAGATTTTGTTAGATTCAGAAAAAGTTGAATCTAACATAATATTTAAGGGTTCAATACTTTCAAAGCTGTCAATACTGCTTAATCCATCAGAGGCAGAATCAAAGGCGAAGGAATCGGAACTCCGAACACTATCATTTGAAGAAATCATATTAAATTATA